GTGACCTAGCAAAGCAGAAGACTTATTGACCTTGAAGATCGCAGTCGAAGGTCAAACATAATCGTTTATGGCATTTTGAAAAATAGCGGGGAAAACGAGGCATCATTAAGAGAAAGTGTTTTTGGAGACATTTCTGAGAAAAAACTTGGAGTTAAATGCGAGTCTATAGCCCCTATTCACCGCCTTGGCCGCCGCGCCGGCCGACGCCCAGTAATAGCCTATTTTCAAGATTTTAATGAAAAGCAGGCTGTCATTCAAAATACAAACAAACTTAAAGGGACAAACATTTTCATTCAAAATGACTACAGTCATGAAACCCTGCGCATGCGCAAGCTTCTTTGAGATAGCGCCAAAGTTGACCGGGTGAATAAGAAGCGCGTATCTCTTTTGCATGATAAGTTGAAAATTGATGACACCATCTTTGTATGGGACGATACCAGAAATGAACGTGTAGCACTTCCAAAGCAGCGGGACGCCACTCGTTGACGTACAACGCGTGCAGAGGCAAAATATATAAGGATACTAAATTTTAATGCTCGGAGCCTTGTAAATAAAATTGGCGAACTTGAACTGTTGCTTCTTGAGCATGATCCACACATAACGGTAATCACGGAAACCTGGTTAAAAGACAACGTTTGTGATTCCGTTTTAATATCACCAAACTATAGCATTTTTCGTGGTGATCGGCCAAGTAGGGGCGGTGGCGTAGCCATTGTTTTACGGCATCCGTTGACAGGTGTTGTTATAAACCAAATCGATGGTCATGAAAGTTTGTTCCTCAGAGTAAGCTGCTGGGGCCATGTCTTTATCGTGTGTGCTGTGTATATGCCTCCATCGGCTTCCCCTGAATACATTTCCAAACTGTGCGATCATATGGCTCAGTTTTCGAACAACAGGGTGATACTCGCCGGTGATTTTAATATTCCGTGCATTGATTGGCGTGACCCCGTTTCCTTTTTCGATGTGGACATAAACCCTCTTGTGAATATTATGATTATGTGTGATCTAAAACAAACTGTTACAGAGTTCACCAGAGAAGCTGGAAGTGCCCGTTCGGTAATAGATTTAATTGTTATTAGTAATGATATTTCTACATACTCTGTGGATGTGGTTGATGGTGTGTCGGACCACAGGGCGGTGTAACTTTCCCTTCCGCTTGGTGATGCGAAGTTGCACAAAAAACAAGGAAAAAAGTTAATAAAAGATTTCGCTAAAGCCGATGACCATGCAATACTTGACAGTTTGTGGGAATTTTGTGATAACATGCCGGGCTGCGTCACAAATCTCTGGGATGCTCTGAAAGAAACTATTCATTATGGCATTGAAAAATTTGTCCCCTCCAAATATGTTCGCACTAACAAAAATAACCCGTGGATGACAAGAGAAATCATTCATTTACACCGTAGGCTAAAACGAGCCAAAAAACATAAAAAACCAGTTAGTGAGATATCTAAATTAAAAGTCAGCCTTGCTTCCGAACTCTCCAACGCAAAAACTAGGTATTTCACTCATTCATTACCTGAATTTTTGACAAAAAGCCCTGGAAAATTCTGGCGATATTTAGAACAAACGGATGCTTCGCCCAGTCAAATAACTGTTGATGGTTCCATTGTAAATGATGCGTCGGTTGTCGCTGATCAGATTAACAGATACTTCTGCTCGGTATTTTCTGCTCCCCAACATGAATCACCACATGACAACCTTCTTCCAGTAATGTCTTCCGAGTTCATAACTTATGAGGGCATATTTTCTTTGCTGCTTAACCTGAAAAATAAATCTTCAGCTGGTCCAGATAATATCCCTAACACATTCTTGCGTAAATATGCCGAACCCGTTGCGCACATTTTAACAAGTGTTTTTCGCCTCTCCTTCGAAAATTCCTTCATTCCTGATGACTGGCGCATGGCACGTGTAGTACCGGTGTTTAAGAAAGGGGATCGTTAAAACATTGCAAACTACAGGCCTATTTCCTTAACATGTACGTCATGTAAGCTATTAGAACATATAGTCGCAATTTACATCACAACATTTCTTGAAGAAAACCGCCTGCTTTTGCCATTACAGCACGGATTTAGAAAAAAATTATCAACCACAACGCAGCTAGTTACAACAATTCATGAGTTTACGTCGTCGCTGGATACGGGGAATCAAACTGATGCTATTTTTTTAGATTTTAGTAAAGCTTTTGATCTTGTCACGCATAGCAAACTCATTTCTAAATTATATGTCCTAGGTCTACCTGTTAACCTCATTGACTGGATCCGTTCTTACCTTCAAAATCGCAAGCAGTATGTTAAAGTAAATGACTGCATGTCTGGTATTCTACCAGTGTCATCAGGAGTTCCTCAAGGTAGTGTTTTGGGACCTATTCTCTTTCTGGTATATATAAATGACATAGTTGAATCAATAGACACATCACAAGTCCACATAAAGCTTTTTGCAGATGACTGCATACTTTATAAAACGATTACTGCTCCGAATGACCAGAAGTGCCTGCAATCCAACCTTTGTGCCATTTCTAAGTGGTGTGAAGATTGGTCAATGAAATTAAATAGCGATAAATCAGTTGTCATGCATATAACAAATAAGAAACACTGCTTTAATTATACCTATTCTCTCAACAACTGTCCATTGACTGAGGTTAATGAATATAAATATTTGGGCGTCACAATTACAAGCCACCTAACATGGTCAAGCCACATTAATAAAACATGCTCATCTGCTTTTAGAAAGCTCGGTTTTTTGAGACACAAATTAAAAACAGCGCCCTCAGAAATCAAAATGTGGCCTACCATGCTTTTATCAGACCAAAGTTAGATTATGCTAGTGTCTTTTGGGATCCACATATAAAGAATGATGTTAAGAAGCTTGAGATGGTGCAGCGAAAGGCGGTTCGCTTTATCTTTAATGCCTACCACAGAAATGACTCGCCAACAACGATCATGGCTAATAATGATATCCCTACTTTACAATACCGAAGAGCTGTTGCCCGGCTGAAATTTCTACACTCACTTTATTTCCGTAAATTTAACATTTGTCCAGAAACCTATATAAAAAATCGAATCTCAAGACAAACTCGACATACTCACAGCAACACTCTTGAACCTTACTTCACACGTACTAATCTTTTCATGAACTCATTCTTTCCTCGGACGGTCAATGATTGGAACGCGTTATCTTTTGAAGCATTCTGTGATAATGAAAATCCTGACTTCGATAACTTTGTATCTTTCCGTTTTTAACTGTACAACTCAAGATCTCGGACTGTGTCACATTGTATTTGATTTGCGTTCTCCGGTTGCAATTTGCAATTTCTTGCTGCCATTCAACTTTGTTCAAATGTTATCCGGTGTTCTACTGCCTTGACATGTTTTTATTGCTTGAACTTTCTTTTATTTAAGTTACATTGTGAATCACTTTTTATGCCCCCCTGCTTGGTCTTTCGACTGCAGTATTCTGTAAATAAAAAAATAAAAAATAAAATAAATACAACTTGGTAGCAGGACAGGCCGGCGTGGTTTCTGATAGCGAAGGACTTGGTGGTTTCGGATTTCCGGGTGAAATGACGCCAACAGCCAGCAACGCGGAGGGTGCGGGGTAGTGCAGCGGTAAACGAAAAAGCGCCACCCCTATCCCATTTGTGAAAGTAGGAGAGAAAATGATGGGTTGTGCAACCGAAAAGTGGCACGAACGCCGGCCACGCGTGGTGGCTAAGATCAATGAACGAGTGAAAATTAAATCCTTCACTGCTAAGTGCTAGCTCTTCATTTTTTTAAAGGCAAGCTTACCCAGACAAAAATCTGTCTGGCTGGGCGAAATAATGGGTATGAGGGAAATCTGTAGCCAGGTTGTCTATTTGTTTTTTGATGGCTGGGAACTCGTTTAATTCTCAACTCCAATAAGTAAATTAGGTATTTCTATTCTTTAACACAAAGCAGACTTTTTGAGCACCACAGGGGGGCTAAGTGGCGCTAGCCACCACCCGATATAAAGAGCACAGCCATATCCATTCTTGGTTCATTTCATCACCTGCGCACCCACACCAGCCGGGCAGCCATTGCGCCACGACGCTACACAGCCGACGCAACACGCCAATGTTTTCTGCCGCGGTCGTGGTGCGTGGTTTAGCAATTCGTAATGGTGCGCTTTTGTTTCATGCTTGCGAATTGCAGTCTGCAATTCCTCTCAAGCTAGTCTCGTGACCCAAGGCTGTGTCACGGTCACAATTTAATCTTCGTGCTTTCAAATTCGTGGCATTCAAACTTTGTGTATTTAGAGCTGTGCACTAGACCATGATAGCCTAACAAACAGACGGTGCAGTCTCAAAGTATTGTATGCGCTTTGCATATTACCCACCAAGCAGGCTCGCCGAACATATAGAATATTCGAGTAATCAAATACCTCAGAATCGATTCACGAATCCAAATATTTGAGTATTCACACACCCCTAGTTGCTCCGCATTGGTGTGCTAAAGGACTTTCACACAGAAACGTTAACTTTTCTACATGTAATTGCAGATTCAGAATAAAAAATGACAGAACGTGTGGGAATCGAGGCTAACCCGCCGCCTTTGCATGAGCTTTGCTGCCTCTTTCTGCATTCTCATGTCTTGACATGACTCTCCTCTTCTCCGCGGTTTGTCGCTTTGGGAGAGTGGGAGTAAGTATTAACCCCTCTCACCTGGTAGCAGATGTCGACTGTGGCGCCATGCGCAAAATCTCTCTGGACGTTTCGCGCGCGTGCACCAGAAGTTAGATTTTTCCGAGGCAGCTGAGCTGAGGGTGAGCGCGCATTTCTTTTCCGTCCATCGGAAAAGAAATGTGCGCTGGTTTATAATTAACCATCACCAACTCGCTTAACTTTCAACGTTACTGTTCTACCTCAGAATTATTTGCCTCTTTCGACATTTTGTGGCATTTTTTTTAGTCTAATTCATAAATGCTTTTACCTGAAATAACCATTAAGGGTTAGAGCATCCAAACAAAAATAAGATACTCACCTGGTGTAACGCAACATCTGTGAGCCAGATAAAACCTTCCCTGTCCACAGTGAGACCATGTGGCATAAAGAACCTGCACAGATGCACATGTTTTGTTGGCTGAGAAAGCCCCTCATAAAGACATACAACATGAGCTACAATGTCTCCCATGAACTACAGGTTCCTTGAGATGCCACAAGCTGAATGCTCTCGAAAATAAAAACAAATCGTGTAGTTGCCACTTAGATCTTTGAATTGTCAAGATCTTCAAACCATACAGCATGCACAATGATAGTTTTATGTAGCCAATGACTTTTTTGCTAGGAGTGTGTGAATCTTCAAACTTCCACATAGTTTTCGAATAGTGTTTGCTATTCGATTCACACTATAGTTTTGATTATTCGAACTTCCCAAAGACAAATACAGCCAACGTCATATTAGAGGGGCATGGAGGGTACAATGGACTGTAAATGCACGATATTCCAACATTACTGACAAGTGCTTCCGCAAAGTGGTGCGTTTTTTACACAAAGTAGAAAGAACTTAAACATGGCCCCAAACATGTCTGATCCTGTGCCTGCATCGCCCGCATTTTCCCAAACGCTACCTTACGTGGGAAAAGGAACATTTTCTCTCTAACCACTAAAGAGTGCAAACTTATCAGACTTCTTTCTTGTTAATATGCACCCTTTTTTAAAGCAAAAGAATGGTGTTTCCACCATATTTGTATTCTTAATGAGTTTTTCTTGAAGAAAAAAGCCCTGAAATTTCAGTCATAAACATTTGAATTGTTAGCAAAAATATAGTCATGCCTGTAATTATTATTTTGGTGCAGAAGGATACCTGGGCACATGTAATAACCGGAAGAGATTTCAACACTTTACATGAAATATCATTTTCACAAGTGTTCCTTAAAAAATAAAAATACTAAAATGATTTACTTTTCATTACCTTTAGAATGGCTTTGTATTTGCTTGATAAATTCACAAAACATCTAATAAAATCTCTATTCAAGCAACTTGCAAAATTGTGTGGAGTTTGCTTTAAAAAACACGGCATATTCATGAAGTGAATGATGACGAATGGGCAAAGCAGTGGGATCATTCGGTGTCACCATAAATTACCCATGACATTGACCACTCTCGCATGTAAATGAGTGACAAAGCAATGTACAGTGTCGGGGTGTTAACACCTCCTGCACGAAGCATGGAAACTTGGGGCAAGCCGGTAGGACATAATTGAATGTAGGAACAGCTCAACCTAGAAGTAGTTACTTCGTAACTACGGAAGCCTTGTTTTTTCGCCTCCATATTTATGAAGTATCTACTTTTAGGTTGCGCTGTTCCTACATTAAGTTACCCCCTGCATAGTCATTTGTATCGTGCATAGGCCGCATTTAGGGTTCATAACTATTAAGTGGTAGGCGGCGTTGTGCTTGCAAGCATTTACTACCACCATCATCATGATTAACGCCGGCACTGCCACCTGGCGGGAATGAGAAATGGGGGCGGGGGCCTCTTTGGCAGTTGGCGGGAACGGTTGTCTCTTGCGATGGGTTCGCAGTGGATGGCACAGCAGGTCGTCTGCCCTGGGCCCTCGTGGTGAGTCAAGCGTTGGAAACACTGCCTCCGCGCTACCCTATTTGTGTTTGTTATATTGTTGAGTGTTGTGGAATATTGTGTGAGGTTGTTCTGGCGTGTTGATCACAGCTCATGTATTGATTCGGCTTGCGATGTAGTCGTTCTAAAAGTAGTTAAATAAATGTGTATTGGTTGGTTCGTTTCGACCGCGACTGCTGTGTCCTCTCGCTCCGAGAGCGGCGCACTCCATGGGAAGACCTCGCAACAGTTACAGTGAAATCTCGGTAGAACAAACCCTACATTAACGAACATTTTCAGATTAACGAACTTTTAAAATATCCCGTGCCAACTGCTAATTGTTCAATGTAAAATTATTTCACAACTATGTACTTCAGAATACCGAACTTTTCAGAATAACGAGCACTAATTTAGTTCCGCGTTATATTAACAACGCTTCAGTAAAACGAACTCATGTTCTGAAGGTAGTTATAGCGCGAGAACAGAACAACGACAAAGGGACAAGAAAGGGACGATCCTTTTGTCAACGTTTTGTTCTCGCGCTATAACTACCGTCACGTCATACCAACTAGACCAAACTGTCACACTTCCATGTTTTGAAATCCGTAGCGACCACCGGAGCAGTACATAAGCAGATGACACAGCAAACGGATGCCTTGCCTTTCAAAACACACGCGACAGCGCGGAGAAAAAAAAAACAACAACAAAAAGACGACTTTTTTTTTCTTTTTTATTTTTGTTGAAACGCCAACGCTACAGGTTTACAAGCGCCGAGGCGAGGGTAACACGGGAGGGCAAGGTCGGCAAGGCAGAGTGGGAGTTGCGGAGCAGGAAGCATGGGTGCGGAAAGCCCGAGACAGCGAGGGAGCACAAAGCGAAACACGAGGAATTTTCTTTTTTAGCACTTTCTTTTCTTCGGAAAAGGCGATGACAGCCATACGCTTCGAGTTTTTCTTTGTCACTTCTACATGTGCTCCAGGAGGCCTTGTCAGTCATGTTCATCTCTTTTCGCTGAATACTTATCGCGTTCGCAAAGGGAGTCGGCACTCGCGCTGCGGTGCTACTGCATTGAGTTCATCTCTGCTTGCAACAAAAAAGCGGAAGTTTTCGCTAAGCGAGAAAGTGGATCTCACTACCGAACCAAACCACAGCAACGTGGATGAGCTGGAGGCCTTCGTGCTGCTTAGTTTGTGCTGCACGTGTTAAAAAAAAAATCACAGACTCCTTTAGGTAAACGTGCACTTTTTAGTGTTCACTTGTGCATTTGTTTTTTTCTCGTGAAAAATGAGTTCGAGGACCCACCGTTTTAAAGGTAAGTTGTTCTGCTCAGTGGAAAACAAGCGTTTATGGTTAATTTTCGGGTTTTCACTATAACGACCTTTAGAAATAACGAACCAATTGCTCAAGTTCGTTATACCAAGATTTCATTGTAGATACAGTGTTTATTAGTCATAAATAATATGCTGTGTTGAGTCGTGACTTTCGTTTTGCCTTCCTTATTAGCGCTTTGTGGTATTGGATCTAGCTGTGCACATTCCCCGGGTCGTTGTTGATCGTTTCCTGTCATCACGGCTATGGCGCACGCTAACGGACAAGTCTCAACCTTAAGGAGCTTTGCTCTTAAAATAACACAGCGATGGGCAGTAGTACCGTATTAACTCGCATAATCCTCGCATTTTTGTGGCGGAAAACCAATGCAAAGTTAGGGGGTGCGAGAATTACGCGGGGAAAACTTTCCACGAAAAAGTACAGAGCAAGAAGAAAACAAAGTGGCCGCAAATCGCGATTCTCACACCAGCAACTAAGAGCAAGCTTTGAGAAGCACCAATTAAAACTTACCTCAACAATAAAAGCACAGGTTCAACACAAGGCAAGATTTATTTGAGACACAAAAAGTGCAAGCAAATAGTTGAGAATTAGAATACCATACGCAAAGCTTGTGGGCGTTGCGGGCGTAGCAGTAGCATTCGTCGCTCAACAACAGCCCTCAAAATGTAAGCGTAGGACGTCAGTATTGGGCTGATGACTATTTAACAGAATCGTCCGCAGTTTCGTTCTGAAGAAATGAAGTTTGCCATCAATCCCAGTTTCAGGCACACGGCAGGCCCAATGCGTCTTGTGGCTTTCGGCTGCCGTCACCAGTAGCGAACACAAAACTTGTCGACTCCGAAGGGTTTACCAGCAGCCCTGTTGCTGTTGTTTAGTGCACGATCAATCTCCTTAAACTTGAAAGCTGTCGCGTAGCTTCAGTATCACTCCATAAGGTGACAAGATTACGGACACAACATACAAAACACGCTGCAACGCGCATTGCCACTCTGGCTTGGCTTGGATCTCCGTGCAATAATAGTACGCTTGATGCTTAAGAGATGGCACCAGATGACACGTGCTATCATCAGTGGTTGGAACGAGCAGACGACAATATTGCGGCAGTTTTTGGGGGTGCGATGATAATTATTCGAGAAAAAAAGAAATCTTATTTTTTTTTGGTTGAAGTGGAGGGTGCGAGAGTTATGCGAGTGCGGGGATTATGTGAGTAAGTACGGTAGTTGCACACCTGTTGCTATAAAGTCAGCATCTAATTGGCAGAAGCCTCTTCAGATTTTTATATGCTGCACCCTGTTGCACTATCGCATTGAGACACTACACTGTTTTGGTAGCAAATATACTGACACAAGCACCTGTCAGCTTCTTCTGCCCTTCGTCTTCCTTCACTTCATCTCTGAAACAATATTTTCAATATGCGTCACCGCATCACACATTGTTATTGGAGCAAAGCTGCCTTTAAGGCTCCGCTACGACCGTAACTGGACTCACGAAAGGGCTGGTTTGAACCTACACTCTGCATAGGTGGGGGCTTTAATTAATGCCGTTTCATATCAAAGAGTCCAAAAAAATGAGACCAACATTTTCAGCATCTGAAATTCCAGATGTTTTTAGACATTAATGTATACAGGTTAGTTTAGCATCTCCATTTTTTGAAGGGGGCACACCCTTTTCCAACAAATCAGTTGGTCGTCCACAGAAGTTGAACAGGAGAGAGGTGGAGAAAATAGAGTCTATTCCTCTCACGTGTAGTGTTGTCGACACCACATTGGTTGCACCAAATCATGCAAGTAAACACAATTTGGTCTGTCGATTGCCCTATCTTTGATAAAATAATAGCAACTTAGCCAAAAAAAAAAAACACGTCTATGTTCCTATCACATAAAAATGTGCTTAGGGATCCTATGCAATCTCATTTCTATAGTTTTCCCTTTTGAAGTATTTGAAAAATATTAAACAAATACCCAACAACTATTAGAAAAATATACTTTAGTATTCCAATTTGCTTCACATCCAGAATTTTACTGTTCACACGGCTGTGCTTTTCGAAAAAGGGTATGCTTTACATGCTGCCTATTATAGTTGCCCCCCATTTAGCCATTTTCGCAGGGGCAGACACAATTAGTCATAATTAACCATACTGCTAATTTTTGAACAAGGATAAACTTCACCATACTAGTTATAACTTGAGGCTGGAAATAGCCTACTATTTCCATATTATGTAGGGTGCCGATCTCCAAATTGAGAGCATCAACACTTACTGGTGGTGGCCCCATCGATGAAGTAGGTGGCCGTTTCCGGGCTCAAGAGTGAGAACCGTGGACTCAGGTATGGGGCCTTCTTCCACACGCTGGTAGACATCATTGAAATCAAAGGACCTGCACAAGATCAGTGCCAAAGCTTTCCTTTTATCTTGCCTCCATTTTGAACACTGTAAAGGCAGCACAGATAACATGCTCTATACATACAAAATACAATATATGTAGTGAGGTTTCTCTGTTTACAGGTAATTTGCAGTAGTTAAGAGCTGAAACAACTGCATATATAACGCTCAAGAAGAAGTCTCCAATAAATTTACCTACTTAGGCCACATTCTTAGCATAGCATTTTACCATACTCTCTTTGAGGTACCTTGGTGACTAAGGTGTTGCACTACTAATTTTAATGACACTATACCCACTAAGGAGTAAAGATAGCAATAGGAATGAGATAGACAGAGGTATACGACTATTAATTAACTTGATCATGCATACATATACAGTGTGTTTTCCCTAAAGTATCTACAATAGAATCTCAATGATACGAATTCGAAGGGAGCACGCAACTTATTTGTATCATCCCGAATTCGTATGAACCAAAAACAAGTTAAAGCTTATCACGAAGACGAAAGAGAAATTCATTGGGGTCAACTACTTCTTGCTGATAAAATATTGGCCCAGTATCTGCATGTAATCTGCAAATGTTGTCGAAAGACGATAGTTTTGTGTGTGGAGAGAGTGAACAAGACATTTATTTGATGTTCTGCGCAAGAAAATCGGTGAATGGTATTCTGCAGGCGCTGCGTTAGAGTGCCTCGAGCGTGCAGCGGAGGCGAACGAGCGCATCAAGTCATGTCACACGTGAGACATAAGCGCCATCTGGCAGTTGTCTTAGAAAACAAAGTGCGTGGCTTTGAGACGGGTGTGCGCGCCCATCTCAGAGGTGATAAGGTGTAGACCGCAAGGCGAAGGGTAGGTGCCACCACCGTTTCGTTTCAGCAAAGCGTTGCAAACACTCGCCTTTCCACGCAAGCATTGCATGGTCAGCGCAGCGTGATAAGCACTACGGTACTTAAAATTACTTATGTAAGCCTCCTCTAGCAAGAGACGCACATGCAGAATATTTACGTGTTGTTATGGTGCCCCAGGCATGCGCAATAATTGCTTTTTAATTGACAATCGCACAAGCATGAACGCTCAACCTTGAACAACATAGGTGGGCGTTGCGGATGGGGTCAGCCGTTCAAGTACCCGATGCCGTTAAGAGTAGATAAACAGACAAATGTACAGACAGACAGACTAAAATTTTTGTGTTGAAGGTCCCCAAGAAAGACTATCGTCTTTAAAAAATTGGCAGATCCACGTACAGTGGGAATCGATGATATGCGAAGCACGAAGAAAGAAGGTTGATATGTCACTTTAAAATCAGCACGTTACGAGGAGGACAGACGTAGTACACAGTAAACACAAGTAGAAATGCTATGCGCACTCACGTTTCGAGGTAAGATGAAAGTACGTATGATGTTCATAGTAGCGTAACGACGGCACCACTAAGGTTTGCAATACCAGCACCAGCATTCATAGGCTGATATGTCGTTCTTGTATTAGTCCTTAATGGAAGTAAATGCGCACACAAATAACAAGTAGTAGTAGTAGTAGTAGTAGTAGTAGTAGTAGTAGTAGTAGTAGTAGTAGTAGTAGTAGTAGTAAATATTTATTTAGAAAAAAAAACAGAGGTTGCTAGAGAGACCAGCCTCTAGTAATGAGCCTCCCTGCAGTACTAGGTGGAGTCCCTAGTCAGGGACTCCATTGGTCGTGGCCGCTGTCCAGGCACGCTGGACCATGGCTCGTTGGGCCGCAAGGTCCTGGCAACCGAGCAGAGCTGCCTAACAGTCCTCTCTTGTTGGATTTAGGTTTGGGGGTAATGAAGGATTGAGCTGGCATGCCCATACCATGTGGTAGGTGTCAGCCACCTCCGCACAGTACTGGCAGAGGCCAGAAAAGGAAGAGTCAAAGTGTTTAAGCACTGCCACGCACAGTAAAGTATTGGTAAATAGCAGAAGAATTTTTTCGTCCGCCTTCCAAAGTCCTTTGCAGGGAGGAGGAAAACGGCGGTGGGAGTCCCGGTAATGGGTAATTATCTCTCTATAAGTTAGGAGAGGAGCGTTTTCTTCTGAAACACAGCAGTCATCGATGGGTGAGGCAGTGGCCCGGGGAATGAGTGCGCGGGCGGCAGCGTGCGCCGCCTCATTGTCTGTGAGGCCCTGATAGCCAGGAGTCCAGATTATTGAACGCGGAGAGGGGTAACCTACTCGCGGACAAGATTTAAGAATTTTGGCAGCTAGGAATGTGATCCATCCTCGTTTAAAATTTCGCCAAGCTCCTTTGGAGTCTGATAATATAATTTGAGAGCCGTCGTGTGATATAGCCACAGCTATGGCCACCTCTTCAGCATGGGTAGCATTGGTTGCGCTTCCGGAAGGACAGACCATCCACCTGCCTGTCCGTCTTGGTGGACCACGGCGGCCGTATACCGACCCCCGCGGTAAGGGCCGGCGATGTCCGTGTAAGATACGTTTTGTTTAGAGCCGAATTGGCGCCGGAGAGCAAGAGCCCGCGCCTCTCGACGGCCATCGTGCAACTCACGTGACATATTAGTGGGGAGGGGTCGAACATGAATCCCGTATTTCCGATGTGCGGGCACTCGTACCCGCTCCACTGTGTAGAATTCATGTCAAATGTGTAGGCGATCTAGGAGTCGTCTGCCTGACGGGGTCTGCGCCGGACGCGTGTGTTGGTTTGTTAGGTGAGCCTCCCGGAGCTCCCGATAGGTGTTTACCACTCCCAATGCAAGAAGTTTTGCATTGGAAGTAGTGATCGGGAGATCTAGGGCTCTCTTGACAATTTCGTGAGGGGTGACCTCCAAGGAATCTCCATCGTGCTTCCGTAAGTGCAGGTACAGAGTCACATATAAGATGCGACTAGTGACAAAAGCATGTGAGAGACGAAGCGCATCCTTGCTTTTGAGACCTCCCCGCTTGTTGGAGACTCGGTGGACCATGCGGCCCACCTGTTCTCCGAACTTACGCAGCTTGTGAAGTGTTGTCTTGACCCTGCGGTGTTTGTGAATGTGGAGTCCAAGGACACGATCTGCTATACCTTATTAATAGGTCCACTTTGCAGGGAAAGGTTGATGGACGAAGTGCACTTCACAGACGGCCGAAGGTGCACGAATTCGAACTTCTGTGGGGAACACTGGAGGCCGCAGTACGCCGCATATTCGTCCACTATATGGGCTGTGGCTTGCAGGCTGTTTTCCATGCTGCCCAGGCATCCTTCTGTGGCCCACAGAGTGATGTCGTCGACATAAAGCGCATGCTTTACCCCGTCGACAGCAGCCAAGCGGGCCGGGAGCTGTGCCATAGCTAAGTTGAACAGCAGAGGCGACAACACAGTGCCCTGTGGTGTGCCTCGCGTGCCCAGGGGATAGGGGCCGTATTCCTGATTTTGGACGCGAATGTACGCAGCTCTGTAAGTAAGAAAGTTTCAGATGTAGTTGAAGGTGCGCTCGCCGCAGTTAGGTGAGCTAAGATGACTTCATGCTTGACGTTATCGAAGGCTCCTTTAAGGTCAAGCGCTAGAATGATCTTGTCATTGTGGGGGTGTTCTACGGGATTAAGTACTTCGTGGTGTAGTTGTAGGAGTATGTCCTGCGAAGAATTCTTGGGCCTGAAGCCATACATAGAATCGGCAAAAATATGGCGCTCTTCGAAGAAGGGAGAGACACGATCCCTGACCATAGTTTCCATTAGCTTCCCCGCACAAGAAGTAAGAGAAATGGGTCTGAGATTCTCAGTGTTGATCGGTTTTCCTAGCTTTGGAATGAAGGTTACTAGAGACGTTTTCCAGTCTAGTGGGAGGGGCGTTTTTCCGAACCAGATCGCATTATTATAGTCAAGAAGCGACTGGTGCGCTGCATAGGGTATATTTGCCAGCATTTTAACGGTAATTTTGTCTCGCCCGGAAGCCGTACCTCGCCTCATTTTGGCAAGAGTGGCGCGAAGGTCGTGTAAATGGAAAGGAGCATCCAGGGCCTAGTTCTCTCTGCCTGCATAGCAATACGCGGAGCCTCACGTGTCCTGCTGAGTGCAAAGATATCGGTCCCGTAGTGATAGAGCTATTTGTGTTGTGGAGCCGTAGAAATTGTGAAAGGCTCGGTACAGTTGTTTTCGCATTTCACCTCGCGTTTGAGTGGGATCAATCAGACTGCGGAAGAGTTTCCATGTATTGCCACTGGACATTTGCCTGCTGGCAGTGTTACAGCGATCTACCCAATTTGAGTCGGCGAGCTGGGCAGCATACTCGGCCGCCTCTTGGGTGAGATCCAGTATCCGCATGCGGAGTTTCCGGTGGTTGTGTTTTTGTCGGCGCCATCTTTTTGTGAGGCTGCGACAGGCCTCCCAAAGATGAAGGAGATGGTTATCTACATCCGGATGACTATCCGTGAGTTGTATTTCGGTCTTGTGTTTTCTTAGTGTTCCGAGCACAGAGTGAGCCCACTGGGAATAACCGATCTCCAGAATGGGAAAGTCAGGTAAGGACTGCCGGAAGGCTTTTCAGTTTGGTAGGTGAGCCTGTGCGATGGGGCGTTGTAGTGCTCGTGTATAAAATGTAGTGTTGAGAATGCAATGGCCACTACCGAGGGTTTCCTCGGTATTGAACCAGTCTGCATGTCTGATGTTTTTCGTGAATGTTAAGTTGGGGCAGGTGTCCCGGCTGCAGAGTTACCTACACGAGTTGGTTGCGCGGGGTCTCTTTGAAGAGTCATGCCCAGCGTGAAAGTTAGCTCCAGAAGTTTCCTTCACTGCGCTTCTTCCTTGCGATAGCCCCAAAGCCTGCTAGGGGCGTTGAAGTCACCCACTATTAAAAGGGGGTCATGCCCGGCGAGCTTCAGTGCCCTGCTGAAGATGTCAGGGAGTGTGATGTTTTTTAGTTTAGCTTTGCAATAAATATTGAGGATGTGCACTGGGGGGTCGGTTCTGCGCAGGGGAAGAACCGTGACCATAGTGTACGAGTAAGGTATTGAAATTTCGAGGTCGACCTCTTGCGTAGTTAAGCCC